CGGAAATGGATGAGAAGACCGGTCGACAGGCAGGCAACTGGGATAGCGGCGCAGGCAATCCACTTGTAGTGGTTTGTCTGACGGATGAGGCTGGAAACTGTAAGCTTTGATTGCCTCCACGGTGGCGGCGAAAGACCGAACTTACATTCCAACAATCGGTCCCCACGTGCAGGATGCAATCGTATAGATGTTGCCGATAAACCCGGCCTGGCTGAGGCTCTGGCGGTGGACGACCTGCAAATACGACGAGAAGAAAGAGTCCCATGAACTAAATGTCTACGTCAGCGATGATTTCCAAAGAGAAAAAACTTCTTCCCTCCTTACCTGAAGCTCAGCCCAATGACTCCCGCGACGGCAGCAGATCCTAGAATTGTCCGGTCCTTGAGGTTGACCCACGGCACAAGCGGTGTCGTGGCGTACTTCTTCTCCCAGAAGCCGAAGAGAATAAGACAGAAGATGCCGAGAATGATCATGGCGATGATGTGGCCTGCGGCCCACTTCTTGGCGGTGTACGAGACCAAGCTGAATGGCAGCAGGAACAGGGAGAAGCCGAACATGATGAGAAACATGCCAACAACTAGACGTTTGTTAGCCAACCGTTTTGCAGGGAAATACGCTAGATTCTTTGTGTTTACCGTCAAACTCTCTGCAATAGAACATGAATGACTCTTGAAAGGTACGGCCGCTCTCTGTCAACTCCGGGCCCTGGCCAAGCTTCTTCGCCTTCTGAAGGTTCCACCACAGCATGACCGTGATGAGAGATCCGAAGACGGGGAAGATGATGGCGAAGGAGCCGAATGCCCAACGGAAGCTGCTGTGGTCGTTGAAGAGCTGCGCGACGATGGGTCCGGCGAAGGCGTTCGCGATGTACGCCGTCGAGTTGAGCGTGTAGATGATCATTCGGTTCCTGATCGAGGTTGTGTCGGAAATGAGGACAGTGTGGATGTAGCCGATGCCACCACTTCCAACCGCCCAGAAGACCTGCAAGGACACCAGTCAGCAAAATCGCAGGAAACCGAGGATTGTAGACAGCGAACCTGGGCAGCGGCATACGTCTCCACGTTGCGGCAGACAGCCATCAAGATGAGACCAAAGCAGCAGAGAAGGTGCGCTAGCATGTAACCTTCCATGCGGCCGAAAATATTGAGGATTTTGGCCAGGGGCAGCTGGGAGACACCGCCAGCAAGGCCGGAGACGATTCCAGTGGTCGCAGTGAGACCGTGACGGCGGAAGGACGAAGTCACCCAGGGCCCGAGGTTGCTGTTCATCTGCTGCTGCATGGAATGCGTGTAAGATGTGACCCAGATGCTGGTGAAACCCGTCAGCTCGGCTCTTGTTGTCTGCACGGTGAGGCAGTTGTCCCGTGGACCTACAGAACGTAAGTGACGATGAGCGCTCTCCACGTCCAGGCCGTCGTGATGGCCTGGATTTTCTTGACACCATTCTGAGCTTCCTCCTTTTCTGCCGCGGACTCGTGTCCGGAGGAGTCGGCGTTGATCTCTGCCGTGATTTTGGCGGGGTTCTTCTCATCGAGGGTCTGGGTCTGGCTCTGGCTTTCAGCCGCGGCCTGCTGGACGAAAGGAGAGCTCATGACGGGCAGCTCTGGACACGATCTGGACAGGACTGAGTTGCCGGCTGTTGCTTGGAAGCCGAAGAAGACGGATGGTTCGCGGTGCAGGAAGCCGGGAGGTTACACTGGCGCATCCTGCTGGTTTTGTAGACGAAGGCAACCCGACTGGACTAGGTAAGGATTTTCATGAAAGAAGCTTATTACGGAGAGGCATACAAATGTTACGTAAATCCACTCTGCCCACGCTAGCTGCAGCGGTGCGAACGACCAGAAGAGATCAGTGTGCAAGGGTTCAACATCACGGCCATTTTCCGGCATCGGACGAGACGTACGGCACAGCAAGGGAAATCCTCCATTTACCCAGGGCTGAGGCGTCTTGGACTCATGAGAAGCGTGCCTATGCCGACTTTGCACGAACATGATCCACATCAGACGACTTGGCAAGTTTGTTCGTTAGTGCGGCGGGCATGCTTTATACCGCAACGGTTGTCCCAATATGGTAGCTGACCTCTACGAAGTGGTTTGGCAAGTGGACACCAGACGTCGTATTAGAGGCCACACACCATCTTCAGGCGCGTCGGGCTTTCCCGCCCACAGAGCGGTCCCGGCGCTGGCCAACAGGCTTGCGTTCTTGGCCCGTCGCCGCATCCCACCGGACTGGGCTTCTTCGGTTGGCAACGGATCAGATAAAATCTTTTATGCTTGGCTGCATGGGGGAGCGGATCTGATAAGATGATAGCGGGGCTGCCGTTGAGAGGCCGGGGCATCAGTGGCCCGAGTTCCAGCCGAGACCACCTTTAGATCCATTCGCAAAGGTTCCTTGGAAGACGGGGAGGCTGGCCATCGGGGATCCGCTGAATACTTCTTCGTTGGCTTGTATTGGCTCACTGTCGAGGTATAATCAAGCAAACAAGCACTCATGTGGCTCATGTCCCTAGACTAGGGTGCTGCACAAGACGGGGCGTGTCATGAGTTTGCCCAACCAGGTATGGCGATGGACGCGACTCTCCCTGCTTACATCGTGCCATAGTTAAGACAACTTCTCTGCGGGGAGTTGACGACGCCGTGTGTGCGCTATTGTAGTAAAGCAGGTGTACCGACGTTACCAAGAACAAGAGACAGAGTAGGCCGCGATAGATGCGTCCAAGGGGTAAGCTGGACCAGACGGATAGACGACTAGGAGGCCAGGCCAAAGTGAGGCTAATGGTTGTTTTCACGACGTTGTGAACTCTTGTTTCCGGTCAACCGATCGTTGACGGCCCCACTTGTCCGATAGCTGACGATAGCTTAATTCGAACACGATCGCTTGGCACACTCGCGCACCAGCGGGTCCGGCTCTCTGGTTCGCTCTCAAGTCGATTGCGAACACCACATAGTTTATACACGGTCAGGCGCATGCGAGTTGGGCGGCAGTATATGAAGTTAGCGCCGCGTGAGTGGCCGACACATCCTCGGGGACGAGACAGAGGGCACGCCGCTGCCGCGTCAGAACATCGCCGTCGTTACCAGGTTTGTCCGGCTGTTGGAAATAAGATGGTTCGGACTGTAAAGTAAGCAATGAAACCTGGTGTCTTGCCTACCACGACGCAATGGGTCTAAACTGGTTGTGGATCGGACGAGGACGCAAGAGTCCATGGTTACAACATGTCAAGCAGGCCACACTTCCGGGACCCCACAAAGAAAGCCATGGCCTGGACTTCTGGGATGCCGCAAAGGAGGCTGGGCCCGTGGTTCTAGACCGGTGCATCGTAGAATTTGTCTGGTTTCTCATGCATCAGCGAGTTTCGCTTCTCACCGAATGGTGTTTAGGCGACAATCTCGGCGCGATCCAGATATGAATGCTCACGACGGTGCACGGTCGAAACTGGTTTGTTTCAACGCCGCTGCCAAAAGATCGTTGATATAAGTGTATCGTTGTAAAGAGTAGTTTGTGCAATGCATGGGTTTGGTGTTCTCGACCTTCTGCTGACACCCAAAAACTGTGCCGTGGTCACAACAGAGTTGAGGTTGCCCGCGTGTACGCTAAGCCTATTTGGGTTACCAGAAAATTCCCAGGCAACAGCCACCAGTGGACCCCTTTTCCATCTCAGCCGTCGTCTCATCTCAAGCATATCAAGCTGGCAAGCTTGACTGACTGATTGGATCATCGGCCTCGGTATGCAATCGAGCCCATGGACGACCAAGACATCTTTTTACTGACGCACGCATAGCTGTCCGGCTCCGAGATCAAAGAGGCCATCGTAGTTGTGACGGATCATACACACCCAACTCGGCCATGGCCACCCTCTTCCGCCAAGCCATATCGTGGCTCTACACCACCCTCGCCGTCACAATCCTCGGCGTCTGGACCCTCCTCGTGCTCGCGGGCGTTGGCGTCACGGCCGTCGACTCGAATCCCGGCCTCCTCCAGCTCATCGCCCTGCCGTCCCTGCTCACTTTCCTCGTCGCAAAACTCGTCGTCGCCGCGTCGCCCCCAACCGCCGCCGCCGCCGTCACCGGGCAACCCCCCGGGGTCCAACCGCCGAGCGGCGGCAGCAGCGGCGACCTCGCAACCTGGCTGGCGACGGCGGACCACGGCTCCCCACACGGCGCCCTCGTGCTCTTCCTCTTCTCCGTGGCCTGGCTCCTGCACCTCGTGCGCGTCGTCTTCGCGCTCTTCCTCGTGGTCCTGATGGGCGCCTTCTTCGTCTTCGCCGCCACGCTCGACGCCGCGGACAAGGGGGACAAGGCCGAGGGCGGGCAAGGGCTGTTCGACGACGAGGGCGCGCGGCAGAACTTCTCGACGGCGCTGGCCGAGTTCGAAGAGCAGGCGGGGTTCGGGTTCGGGGACTACCTCGTCGAGAACCCGTGGGTCGTCTTCCAGGCCGTCGTGGCGCTCTGGTCGGCGTTTGGGCTGCTGATGATGTACGTCGCTGCGTATGCTTTCGGGGCGATCCGCAAGGTGTTGACGACGCCGCTGGAGGCGTGGGCGAGGGGCCAGGGGTCTCGGGCCGCCGGGGCGCCGGTGGTTGTTGTCGAGAAGGAGAGGGTTCGCTTGCCTGCAGAGACGCAGGCCGCAAACTGAATGCGGGCGAGCCATGACATACCAGGATAGGGACTCCGCCCCCCCAGCCAGGAGGCACGACGAGGGGAGACGCAGAGAGGGCGAAGGTGCGCGGCGCAAACAACCAGGGTCCGTTCTGCAGCCTCCCGCCTCCCGCCACAGAGCCCCTGCGGCGAGAGAAAGCTCGGGCCGGGAGGCGGGGCGCGGGTAGGACGGGGGGATGAGCCCCGGGTGGGTCTCCGGCGCCAGCCCGTGTGGCGCCCAGCAAGCAAACGGGAAGGAGCGGCCTGCGTCTTCCTGCCAGTCTGCAACAACCAGCGGCCTTGCCTTGCAGTTGCCTTGTTCAGGCCCTTGGCCGTCGTCTCCAGCATCGCCCAACAAACAAAAGCAACCGTGGTGCAGTGGTTTAGCATTCCAGCCTTCCATGCAGGGAACCAGCTGGGGACCTGGGTTCGAACCCCGGCGGTTGCAGCCAGTCCTTTTGCCCTTGTCGCGATAGTACATGTGTTCTTTTTGGCTGGTGGGCTCTCAGTCGGTTGGAGGACTTGGTTCGGCCGTCGCCGTGCGGCCAGAGGGAAGCGCCGCCCGGCGGGGACGTCCGGGTCGTACCCCTGGACGAAGTATGCAAACACTTTGGAGGGGAACGGATTATGGAATGCGAACCCTCTATGTCCGTGGTATTGCTTGTTCCAAGGCCCCCCCCCCCCCCCCCCCCCCCCCCCCCCCGTGTACCTAAACGCCTCTACTCGAGTTTTGTCCGGCGCAATGCACCGCAGACGCTCCATCTACATGATCCGCCCGCTTGACCGCCCGTCAGCCGGCCCTCTCCAAGATGCGACACGCCTCGGCAATCTTCTCCGTGATCCCGTCAATGTAGCCCCACGCAAACATGTCATAATGGTTCCCTTCCGTCTCCAAGACCCTCTCGACGAAACCGGGACAGTACCCGTCCCACCCCAACCTCCCATCCGCGCGATACAGGTCCACCTGGCTGACGCCGTCAGTGGGCATCGGCACATGCTCCTTGGCCTTGACCAAGACGGCACGCGGCGGCCTGTCCCAGACCACCGCCGCCGTCTCCTTCTCTTCCTTGGTGCAATAAAAGCCCTTGTCCACGCCCTCGTCGTCGATGGCCGCCGCCCCGTCGCCGCTGCCGGCCATGCTAGGAACGGTCGCCGCCGCCGCCGCCCCGCACCTGGGCATCGTCCACGCCCTCACCATCGCCCCCGCCATCCTCATCGCCCTCCTCGCCAGCCTCAGGTTCTTCGCCTCGGGCTCCGGCCCGTCCACGAGCCTCCCGACCTTGACCCTCGAGCCCGCGGGCCAGACGGGGTAGACGCTGTCGACCATGACCAGCCCGACAAGCTCCATGTCCTCGTCCTCGTCCCCGAGCTGCCTCGCAATCTCCAGCGAAAGCAGCCCCCCCAAGCTCCACCCTCCCAGCAGGATCCTCCGCCGCCGCTTGCCGCCGCGCCCGGCCGAGGACGAACACGGCGCCAGCGCGGGGTACTCCGGGCTCTTGGTCACTGTGTTCCGGATCATCTGCAGGTACGTCGCCGCCATCTCGGGCAGGCCGCCCTCCCAGGGCACCCCCGAGTGGAAGCGCGGGTTCGCGATGCCGAAGACGGCCCGGTCGAGGGGGGAGAGGCAGTGGTACGCAAAGGTCGTGCCGCCGCCGTCGTGCACGAGGAAGAGCGGCGTCTGCGTCTGGCCGCGCGGCGAGGCGGGCTGGACGACCTCGCATTCTTTGGGGGCCGGGTGGGCGAGCATGGCTGCTGCTGTCCCGGCTCAGGGACGGCGCGTCGCGAGTGAAGACGGGTGGGCCTTGTTGAGAAAATTCCCGGGAAGCGAGGTGACGGGATCGCGGGGCCGGGTGAGAGATGCCACGGTGAGGGTCCTTGCTGACAGGCCGAAGGGGACGCTCAACGACGGTGCGGGGTTATCGGTGCTCCCTCGGCGGAGAAGCGGGAATGAACAGCTCTCAGTGTGTGATGCGTGTCGAGGGCATCTCCCAAGAAAAACAAAGTGCAAGGAGAGAAGTTCCGGATACGAACCTCTGGTTCCCAACGATGAGCGAGATGGGAAAAAGGTGGCATGGGCGAATGCATGTGCACACGTCGCAGAGTCGCCCACTGCGCCCCCCACCAATGCGCTCGCAGGATCCCTGCGCCACCCCTGGAGTGGGGCGACGGGCCCTGCCGCTTCGGCGTTCGGCAGTCCCGGCTTCGGAGGTGAGGGTCCCCAGTGGGCTCGGAGCTTGCGTCTGGCACTGAGTCGTCGCCCAGTCGGGGAGCCGAGACCCCTTTTCGGCCTCACATCTGGTCCTCACGTGGAATTCCACACGACCGTCTCACTCCGCATGTTTCGTCTCGTCTGCCGACACCGCAGTCTTATCGGGGCAGGTCAATAACGCTTCTACCTGGAGAAATATGACGAAATCAGCACCGGCCAAGGCGCCGACCTCGCCATGCGACATGGAGAGACGGGTGCGTAAAACATCTTGTTGGCTACATTCCACGCCTACTGACACAATTTAGTCATGATCTACCACGATGTATCCAACACCCCCGAAACCCTGCCCTTACGCCCTGAGCCTGAACTTCAAAAACATCTTCTCCCGCGGCTTCGACGCCGAGTGGTTGTTCCTATCGACCGAGGTTGCCGGGACCTTGTCCATCTTCTTGCCGTTGGCGTCGACGAGGTGGAATTCGAACCGCGCGATGAACAGGGCCGTCGTGACCGCCATTTCCAGCTTTGCAAACTGTGCCGGGTCGTCGTCAGCAACCTCACCCCGTCGCATCTTCCGCAAGACAGCCTTCGGGTGGCGGAAACAAAAACAGGCGGAATGAAAGGGGGGAAGGACAAAACTCACCCTCATGCCCAGACACGGGTGTCGTCCGGTGCCCCAGCCGATGAACGCATGCGGATCCTTCTTATCCTCCTCCCTCCCGGGCAGGTACCTCCCGGGATCCCACCGCAATGGGTCGGGGAAGAAGTTGGGGTCCATGTGCGTCGTGTCGAAGTGGTACACCACATACGAATCCTGCGGCACCACCTCCCTCGTCTCCCCAATCCGCACGTCCCTCCCGCTGCCGTTGTACCGGAACCCGCACCCGGTGAGCGTGTGCCGGATCGTCTCCTTCAGCCCCAGGTCGATCAGGGGGAACTCGGCCTCCCACTCCTCCATGCTCATCTTCGCCAGGATCTCCTCGGCCGTCTGGTCCTCGGACCTCCGCCGCCGCGCAATCGCGCCGTCCACCTCCTCCCGCATCGCCCGGTACCAGTGCTCGTCCGTTGCGAGGAAGCACAGCAGGTACGCGGCGTTGATGCCGCTGTTGATCAGCCCCGCGAACAGCGCGCCGACCAGGAAGGCCACCATCTCGAGCGTGCTGTCGCCGTTGTCCATGAGGAACTGCAGCGCGTCGTTGCCGCCCACGCCGCGGTTCTTGCGCTCCTTGATCACCCCCTCGAGGATCGCGTACATCTGCGCGCCGCTGTAGACGCGGCGGAGGTGGCCCGACGTCGGCATCCAGGGGAACATGACCTTGGTGGCCGTGGCGGCCGCGTCGATGGACTCGAAGATGCGGAGGACGCGCCGGAGGAGGTCCGGGTCCTCGGCGATCTCGTCGCAGCCGACCGTGCGCATCGTGAGCTGGAAGACGAGGCGGTACATGTCCTCGAACGGGTCGCTCACGCCGAACTCGGACAAAGGGTCGATGCGCGAGGCGAGGGTGTCCATCGTGTGGCGCGTGTCGCCGACGAGGAGGTGGAGGCGGTCAGACAGGACGTCCTTGCGCAGGAGCTTGACGAGGTTCCTGTTGAATTTGTTGCCGAAGTCGTCTTCGGAAGCGGGGCCGCTGGATATGTCGATTCGCGGGGTGGCGTTGAAGAGGGCGCCGTAGCTGCGGTCGTGTAAGTCCAGTTTTCGTCCATAGCCCCCTCATCGCAACGGCAACCTCGGCCCAAATCAAACGTCCAGGAAACAAGGAAAGCTCAGCACTCACCCCTTTGCGAAATCCAAATCCCGGTTCTCGAAAAAGAGGCGCCGCCCGGCGTCCCCCGACAGCCCGACGATCCTCATCTTTCCGAAATAGAAACTCCAGTTGCCCGACGTCGCCAACCGGCGCCCCTCGCTCAAAAAGTCGCCCCGTTGCGAGAAGAAGCGCGGCGTGCCGAGCACGGGGTACCCCTTGAACAGCCGCGGCGCGTTGCGCGGGAACGAGGGCCGGTAGACGAGGGCGCCGACGGCGTAGGCCAGCCCCGTGAGGAGGAGGACCCAGACGCTCGTCGGCCAGTTCTGCGGGTGCAGGGCCGCGGACGCTGCTGCGGCGAGGGACATGTCGACGATGGGGACGTGCTGTCTTGGCTTCGTTTCGTTCGTCGCGGACAGGAAGAGGGAGTCAAAGAGCCGAGGCTGGTGGGAGCGATACGAGATCCCAAGGACGGGACACACTGGGAATGCAAGACGAAAGAAGACAAAACCACAAAGTGGGAGAGGAGGGGGGGAGGAAATATGGGCATGTACCATGTGGACGAGAGCTATCAATGCTGCGAGCCGCGGAAAGGGTCCGATTGACTCGAAACGTCTGGGGCAAAGCAGAGAGGAGGGGAAACAGACGTCAGTACCGTGTTATGCGGTCGCCACGCCGAGGGAAGACGGGTGGGAAGAAGGCATCCCAGATGGCGCCAACTCAAAACACACGGGATCGCCATTTGATTAGAATCCCCAAACGAAGCGTCGTGTGCCCAGACAGGGATCCGTAGAGCCAAAGCTACAAGCTGGCGCGATGCCGCTCTTGCCCTCCTCCGTTGCCGCCCAACGGTGTTGACAAGCCAGAGGTTCACGAATACGAGCGACCCCGTCCCGATTGGTTCAACAGTCCGCCGTTTGTCCCGTCCTCGGTGTCCCACGTGAAGTAAACGAGAGAGTGTTTTTGATGGGCAGGGCACCTGGACCTAGCGGCTTATGTTCGGTCTCCGCGCAGATCAACCCGCTGGTTTGGAGATGGTGCGCGGCAAACGGGCGAGCCGAGGGTGAAACTTTGCACGTCAAAGATCGTAATGGGAGCGGGGGAGCCAGGGACGGTCATTTTGAAAGCTTCTGGAGGCCGTCTCGGGGCGTGTTCCATGTCGACGGGAGTCTGTGGCACCTTTGCGCATCGGCGTCGAGGCGAGCCTCCGTTGTTCTGCGGTTTCGTCGACTGTCTGCGGCTTGTAAGACATAGCCTCGACGGGGAACAGCGGCCGCCCAGCGGGAGTGGCCGAATACAGTACTTGGTTCTCCGTGAAGGCGCTTTTGTCCCGTATCACGACGCCGTCGTCGATGAAAGACGGTAGTTGTTTGGGGGCGTAGATCGTTGGGCAACTTTTGCCGCTGAAGGTGGGAGACGCGGGGTGCAGGGGAGGCATTCCTCGGATAGTTACTTCAGCGTTTAGCCTTTTCGTGCATGTGCGCTAAGCGTATTTACCTC